CGAACCAAGCCACGTACTAAGTGTGGGGCACAAACGGGTCTGACGCACTCTCATGGGTCGTCACCACCATCTTCCACCGGTCTATCTTCAGAGCAGGTATTGTCGCACCGTCCTTGCCAGTCCTGCCATCGACGCCGCTACGACGTCAAACAACGCCACCACCCTACGCTCGTCCATCCAGACACTTCCGTCGTCGAGATCCAGCTGCCTCATGTCGCTAATACTCATCATCTTCACGCGGAAGATGACACGCCACACCACCTGCGAACCTCCGCACCACCGCCACCTCCCCTTGCCACCCGGATCCTACCGCCAGTACAACCTTTTCCTGAACACGCCTAGCCTCCCTAGACGGCGCCTTCACGAAGGGTACGACGCGCAAGGCATCGCCGCCGCCCAATCACGCGGATTTTGGACTTTTGCCGAGGGGGGGGGGTTCAGGACATGGCACCACGCATCAGCCTCTCCTAGCCAAACGGCGCCCCCATGGAGGTAATGACACCGAGCGCTGCCGTCGCCGCATCCGCAAAGGATAACAGGAATTAACTTTGGGTTGGAGAAGAGGGGTGTGAAGAAGGGATCTCGTCGGTGCCTCCAAGGAGGGGAGTAGCGCCCGCAGGCGGTGCCACCGACGTGGATGGCGAAGCCACCAAAGGATTTCTCCCGAACCCAACTCACACCACCTGCCCAACCACCATTAGTCCGGTGAGACAAGATCATCGACGCGAGATCCGGTGGGAAGTGGACCAGACAGGAAACTTTAGATCTGACGCTAGGATAACCGCCGGCCATGAACCGCGCCTGCCGTCGCCTCCGAGGACACCGACCCTCTACCGTGAGCACCGCCAGCCGCGAAGATGGTGTCCCCTCTCCAAGCAAGGCCGCCGCCCTAGAGCCCCACTCCCTTTGCCGAGACCATATCGACGAACTCGCCGCCGCCACCTTCACCGGCAGCTGCACTGGCTTGCCCGGCGGCCTCCTCTGGTGGCGGCGAGGAAGATGAGGGGGCTAGAAGTGGCATTGCGGGGTAACCCTAGTCGCCTCCCGTGTCGCCGGGGAGGATGACCTAACAACAATAAAATCTCTTCTACAAAATAGAAATATTTTGCCTCATCAATGCATGGTACTGTACTTTTGTTTGTTTCTTCGCCCCTCTTACATTGTATAAGAACGCCACTAAAATCCATTGCAATCATAGAAACT